CAAACTGTTCGCCAAATTGTCTAAATGTGAATTTCACAAGCCCTGCATTGATTTCTTGGGCTACCGCATCTCCGGGGGGAGGGTGGAGATGGATCCTGCTAAAATAAAGGCGGTGCTGGATTGGGAACCCCCCAGAACACGGCGCCAACTGCAAATGTTCCTCGGTTTTGCCAATTTTTACAGAAATTTCATCAATAACTTCGCCCAAATTGCGCTGCCACTGACTGATTTGTTAAAAACCAAGGGAAAGGGTTTTGACGCCACGAAACCTGGTGCTCCGCTCAAATGGTCCCCTGCTTGTGCGGAGGCTTTTGACAGTTTAAAACAAATGTTCACTTCTGAGCCGGTCTTGGCGCAACCGGATGAGACTAAAAAATTCATTGTGCAAACCGATGCCTCTGATGTGGCTATGGGAGCTGCGATCTTGCAGGAGGGGGAAGATGGCCGTCTGCACCCTCTTGCATTTGTTTCCAAAAAGTTCTCTGATGCTGAACGCAACTGGGGGATATGGGAGAAGGAGGCGTCAGCAATTCGGCTTGCCCTTTCATCTTGGAGGCAATGGTTGGAGGGGGCCCAACTACCATTTGAGGTTTGGACTGATCATAAAAACCTTGAAATGCTTAAATCGCCCCGTTCTCTCAATGCTAAGCAGCTCCGGTGGGCTGATTTCTTCGCTAAGTTTCGGTTCACTCTTCGTCATTTCCCGGGGGCGGCTGATTCGCTCGCAGACGCACTCTCACGCCTCCCACAACATGACAGCCAGCGTGAGGTCATCATGGACTCGGTTTTCTCGCCCTCCCACTTGGGGGGGGGCGTTGTGACTCGCGCGCAAGCGCGCAACACTTCCCGAACCGACGTTTCGTTTCCCTCCCCGCTCCCAGCGGCGGGGGGGGGGCTTGTTCACAAATATGTTTCTGCTTTCTCCAAAGAGGACGATGACTTTATTTTGGGCTTACCTGACTGTATTCGCAGCCCTGAGGGCTTGGTATATTCTGGTGATAAACTGTATGTACCTGTTTCTCTCTGCAAAGAAGTGATGGACTCTGCTCATGGTTCCAAACTGGCGGGCCATTGGAGTTTTGTCAAATCTCTACAACTCATCCGCAGACAATTTTGGTGGCCCCACATGCACAAGGACTTGTTAAACTTTGTGCATACTTGTCAAACCTGCGCATTAACGAAACCTGGGGGGGGGAAGCCTCCTGGTCTTCTACATCCCCTGCCAACTCCTTCCAGGCCATGGGAAGTTGTTTCTATGGATTTTATCACTGACCTCCCTATGAGCAAAGGAAACACTGTTATTTGGGTGGTGGTTGATCTGTTTTCTAAGCAAGCTCATTTTGTTCCTTTTCCTGCTTTGCCAACAGCACAGAAGTTGGCTAAGGCGTTCATGTCTCATGTGGTGAAAATCCATCAATTGCCTGCTAAGTTAATTTCTGACCGGGGGTCCCAATTCGTTTCTAAGTTTTGGAGGGAACTCCTCACTATTTTGGGGGTGGAGCAGGGGCTCAGCAGCGCGTACCATCCCGAGACCGACGGCCAGACAGAAAGGGTTAATCAGACACTGGAGCAGTACCTTCGTTGTTTTACTAATGACCAGCAGAATGATTGGTGTGACTTGTTACCCCTGGCTGAATATTGTTACAACAACACTATGCACAGCTCTATTGGCATGTCACCTTACAAGGCTGTCTCAGGGTATGACAGCCCCCCCCTTCCGTTCCTGGAGGGGGCTACTAACCTCTCCATGGAGGCCGAATGTTTCTCCCCCTCCGCCGATCATCCTTGAGGGGGATGAACACTTTGAGATCGCTGATATCCTTGATTCCAAGCTGAAACGTGGTAAACTCTGGTACCTAATTGAATGGGTTGATTTCGGTCCCCAGCACCGCGAATGGGTGGAAGAAGGGGATATTCGGGCCCCTTACCTGCTTCGTTGTTTTCACAGGAAGTTCCCGGACAAACCGGGAGGTCTCCCGCCCAGCCCGGGAGGTCTCCCGCCCGACCCGGGAGGTGGTGTTTAGGATGTATTTTTGAGGGGGCAGTATGTCAGCAAGCTGCCATGGTGTTCTGTGTAACCTCTGCTTTGTACATATGTATTCCTGCCTGTTCCTGCCAGCTACCCATTATGTTATTCCGCTGAAATGCCAAAGTAAAACAACTGGAGGATGTGAGGGGGAGAGTATGCTTCAATGCTAGCTTGTTGCTTATTGAGCCTGAGAACTGCACCTGTGTTATGTCTAGAGTTCGCCTGGTTCCCAGGACCTGGGCGCGCAACCGTTTTCTCTTGCCCGCCAGCGGGAATGTTACCCATTGGTTATGGATCTAGATTGAATCCCTTTATCATGTCTGCCCTAACTGCTTGTACCCAGTTCTAACAAGGAACGTGTTTGAGTGTCTTTCCAACGCTTTGAAATAAACTTTACTTTCTTTGAAACGTGGATTTATTCTCGATGCTTGGGGATCCAACAAGGAGTGGGGATTCAAACCCGGTTCTCCCAGATTAGAGTCTGCGCACTTAACCACTACACCGAACTGGCTCTACACCACACTGGTGGCACGTTCAAGGAGAAGGCCCTTCCTTCCTTCCTTCCTTCCTTCCTTCCTTCCTTCCTTCCTTCCTTCCTTCCTTCCTTCCTTCCTTCCTTCCTTCCTTCCT